AAAAACGTCCTAAAATTTCCTTTCTGATGATATTGGTAAACAAATCTAGCCAGTCTTGGAACTCATTAATTTCAAGGATCGTACAAATTTTATGCTCATTCTGAGAGCTACCTCCTGCAAAGGCTTCAAGGGTGATCGTAAAAAAACTCACATGCTCAGTCGATAGCCGATTACCTAGGTCCTTTCAAAGTTCGAACAATCACACCAATTCCACGTAACCGCGCAAGGTCAAAGATGTCACATAGATGATTGGCTTTGATTAATCCATGGCTCCAGACAAATTTCACGACACCTTCCGGAAGGGTTTACTATCAATCCCCACTGGAAGGACAAGTGTGCCTGATGATTTATGCCCATAACTCATTCTTTGTCGGGGATACGCTTTCAAACAGCAGCAGTTCAGAGAAAGCTAGATGCTAGCGTGCATCGAACCAGTAACTTGCGAAAGAAGTGGGGAGGTTAATGAGTCAGCATGGAAGAGATGATCAGGGACGGAATCTGGCTAAGAATCATGAAAGACTTTCACTGTTGCACGTTATGGGCTGATCCGAGGACAGGAGTGTCCTTAAAGTAAAAAGGCTATAAATTTAGCCGAGCCGTTCCGAACTACTGAGGATCGAGACCATGTTAGTAGTCCCTCCTCCTCTGAGTCTCTTGGACTAAGGCCATTGATGGCTTCTTGCAACGTCCTTCTCGTGGTAATAGGAGGAAGAACGTATTGAGACCATCAACTTATAGGTACAGGCATTACCTTGGAGCAATCGACATGAGTCGTGTTTTGGAGCATAGGTAGAGGTCATGTAGCCGGCATCTAAGAAAGGAAGACTGGTGTGCACAAGTTAGCACCTTCAGTATCCCGAAAGGGTCTGGGATCAAACCAAATAGCTACGAGAAATGAATTAATCTCTCTACTAGGACGGAATCCGTTTTGAAGAATTAAGGCCGCGCTACCATTGCATATCTCCCATGTACGAGCCCCTGTTAATGAGTAGAGAACAATATCCCTAGCTATAGAGGCATCCAGTACTCTTAGAATGGAGAAATACTTAATTTAATGTTTTGATTTTTCGATTTTTTCCAATTAAAAACAAAATTAAGGTTCAATCATAGAAGTCTGAAGTCGTAGTCATTTCATAAGTTTATCAGTTATATAAGAGGGTTGTTACATGGAAAAACTAAGGAAAAACGGTCTCAATAAGGCTGAGATCAATTCATAAGCGCATTCCATTCGAAGACTCCATTGGATGTGGCAAGAGGCAAATTGGCGTATCCTATTAGTCCTCAGTGATTTGCTAAACATACCCACCTAATCCAGCAAGAAACATCCCGAACTTAAAACTAACGATCACGATCACTTCATTTTCCCCTTTTCTTTTCGCTCTCCCAAGCAAGTTTCTGATGATGGATTTAGGTCAACTCCCTTAACGAATTAACGTGAGATTCGGACAAAAAAGTTGTTTCCCTTTCATCTCGCCCTTTTCGATTTTTATCGACTAGATTTCAGCTTTGTGCATGCCCAATTGGATCACCCGCTCGAGGATGTGATCCTATGCCATTTATACTTTGGCATGACCTAATTGTAAACGGTTGCCCCAACGTCACGCTCAACAGCCGCGATCCTGCCCAGAAAGTGCACCGTTGGTTCAGACGAGTGAGTTTTTGTGCTATTTTTTAGGGAGTACCGTTTACAAATTAGAGACTGCGAATGATGGAAAGTAATGCAGTGGATTTGAGATTGGTAGGGTATATATGGACAAGCCTTACGATTAGAGTAGCAGTACAGTTGGAGATTTTTTTCGCTTATTAAATCACATTAACTCAAGGTGTCAATGAACTAGTAGAAGCAGCAGCAGCTGTTCAAGCCTGTTCCCTTTGAAGAGTTTACATTGGTAAAAAGTAGAAAGAGTTTCTTGGTTGCTAGGGGCCATAACGGAGCCGGGAACTATGTCTAGCCTACTGAGTAAGTCTTACGAAACTCTCAAAACGCCTTCAACATTGTACTAATCACTTCAAACGCTGTTAGAACTCCAAGCTTTCCGTTCAATTTGTCCATTGACTAATCTGAAACCAGTTTCTACCACAAAAATCGCATTTTGGCTACTTTTTTTGCACATAGCA